TAGTAGAAAGAAAAAAGATGTCTATCGTACGAAGTGCATCAAACTTGCTAGAACAAGCCTCCAAATCAACTGCCTATTTTTTAAAGCTTCTTATGGCAAGTGTTTATCACACCAAATGACTAGCTCACGTCCTTGACTATTTATTCGATCCCTTCAAACATGTGTTTAGCTATTTCAAAATTTTATTGGGTTGTGTCCTTCAACCGTTGAGCATATTCTCAACCTCATAATTTCCATTTGAGCGCTGAAAAAAAAATTTCCTCAACAATTGAAGGATTGAAAGCTTAAAGAGGAGTCACAGAGTGCTTAGGAGCTATTATCTCTCCACATTGATTTGTCAATATCAAAATAAATGCTCAAGTATTTGCTCAAAAGAATAAGTGTCTAAAATTTTAGCAACTTTAAGATAATTCCACACATGCATTGGTCTTGAGAATCTTGTCTAATGAGATCATCCTTGTTGACTAGCTTAAATTCTTCATAGGTATACATCATCACTTAAGGGCTATATGTATGTCAAGAAAGTTCTACAAATATACTTAGCAAACTTTTTTGAGGAAATTCGATAACATAAAAAGTGATGTACATAGTATGTCGTAATAGGTCAATGTACTTAGCCAATTTTTTTGATAAGTCTTATGATTTTTTAAAAAAAAAAGTGATGTCCATGGAAAAGGACTAGCATATGGCAAGATGCTTTTTATGGTCAAGGACTAGCAAATCGTTGGGCATTTTCCATAACAAAAGACTAGCAGATGATAAGATGCTTTCATGAAAATAAACTAGCATGTGGTTGAAAAAAAATGGAGTGGCATAGCAAAATTAGTGTGGCGGGGAAAAGCTACATAACAGCTGATCAAATCGCCTTTAACAAAAATAAATAAATTATCGTTAGTCTACATGACCAGCCTTAATTACTGGTGAACACAACTAGCATTAGTGGTTAGTCAACAAAACTAGCATGGTTACTAGAAAGCACCTACAAACTTTTACTATTTATTTATCTTACGTTGGAAGACTCATGACATGATTTTAAAAAACGATCATTACGTAATGTAACGATCGTTATATAACGATAATGAAACATCTCGTTATCATTATTCTGCATTACGGATGCCCCGATATCTTCTCACATGTATAATAGCAAATAATAGTGTTATATAATGATAAAGTCATTATTTATTATTATATAACGACATTACAAAAAACAAAAAGCTAGAATTTCAATCATTTCAGCTATTGAAATTCAGGCAATGATGAGAGGTAGAGACAAAAGGCAGAGAGGTAGATAGGATGAAAGGCAGAAAGGGAGAAAGGCAGAGATGAGGCAAAGAGAGAGATAGAAGCTTTGGGTGATAACTGATAACAGAGGTAGAGAAGAGAGAGGAACTTGGAAAAAAAAAAGTCCTTTTATTTTGAAAAGCAACTGACCCACGTGAGCTTTAATATCAAATACTTACTTTTGCTGGTTTTGATTAAGTAAATTATAAATTAGTCCTCTTATTTTGAAACAATAATTTAGATAGTCCTTTTATTTCAAAAACCAATAATTTATTTATTTTGTTTATTTTATATTTTTAATTTATTTTTCTTTTTGTTTTAAAAAATAGAAAAATGAAAAAATAAATTTATACCATGAAAAAGATTGATGCAAAAAAATATTTTATACAATAAAATATTAAACTTTAAACATGACCAATACTGATTAAAAGATTAAATAATTAGTTTTTAAAACATTAAAAGCTAATTTATTCATTTATCAAAACTAGAAGGATTAATACATGATTTAATGTTTTATTATTCTACTATGTCTTGCATGCATAAATTGGTTGTCTTACATGCACAAATTCAAAGGCTGCAAAGCAAATGCTGCTTTAATTGAATAAATTATAAATTAATCATTTTAGTTTGAGAAAAATAAATTAGGTGGTCTTTATTGTTTTAAGACTTATTATTTTTTTAATTTTATATTATTTTCTAATTTGCTTTTCAAAACTAGTTATTGTTGTAACTTTGATAGACAAGAATTACAACATCAACAATAAAATGATAACTATTATTATGATTCTTTACTACGATTATTTTAAAAATGAATATTTTGTAATATGTTTATTGAAATTGTAATGTATATATTTATTTATTGTGATATTTATCAATTAGAAGTGTTATTAACTATTTTTTGTAATAAATTCAATTATTATTGTATGATATTAAACTATTTTAGAGATGTTATTACTTATTAGTATACATAATTAGTAAAACTATTAAAAATATATGAATTAGAATAAACTTATTAATAGTTGCTAATGTATTCACGTCATCGATTGTCGAGATCGTTATGTTACTATCGCGATAAACCGCAATTTGCTATCGCGGTCGCGATCTTTTTTTCAATCACAACTATTATTTAAAACTATACTCACAACTAGTTTATCACACATTCTTTTATATATTTGGTATACGATGGGAGCCTTACGACAAGTTTGTGATAGCCATTGTCAAATTATGTTTTTCTAACTTTATTTTTCTCTATCTTGTCATACATGATTGCACTAATATCCTTGTTGGCTAGGTTCTCCGTGCAAGAAACTAAATATATATGCTTGATTTTTTTTTAAAATTAATTAAATTAGCTAATTTATTATTTGTTAATCTATGTTATTTTCATTGGGTTTGGCATGGGTCTAAGTTACACAATGAATAAATTGGATTGAAGATGGATCTTATCCAACGCAAAACTTTGGGTTGTACAAGACATGGGTCCAAGCTATAAAATAAATGAGTTGAACTAAGGGCGGGCCTCACTAGCACAAGATTTTGGGCCATGCAATGATGGACACAAATATTCTAGTAGGACTCGTGTCTATCTCTTGTCTTTGTGATGCATCAGAGATACTAACTTGGCAAGATCAAAATAGAGTTCATTAAAGAAAAACTTAATTGTTACTTTCTTTAACATTTGCTAGCAAATTGAAGTTGTTTAGTCTTAAAAAATAAATAAATAAATTAATTAATTAACTCAAATCGACCATTTGAGCATAGATGACGTAACATGATCTTATCAATCAAGGATCATCTTTATTTTACTATAAATACCGACTTCATAACAATTGTAAAGGAATTTTAATTTTTTATCTTTAGCAAAACTTCTGAAGTCTCTTTCTCTTTGGAAGTTTTCTCACTCAAAAACTAGACAATTCCTAAAGCTCCTCTTGTTTGGACTTTGACACTAACCTATTTAACACTCTGAGTTGTATCTTACTAGCATTGCATGCTATTCATCTCATATCTCTCATTATTTGCATGCATTTTACTTAGTTAACTAGCTATTACTTTCACAGTCATAACATTAACTCTCTATACTTTGATCATTATGCTAATTTGTCATTGGCTTTGCTATCAAAACTCCTCCCACATAATTCAATGGAATTAAAAGTATCTTTGATTTCTTTTCTTGGAATCAATGGGAAAATATCTTCAGAAAAGGAAAATCATTCGTTCTCGGAGTCATTATCAAGTTTAAAGACAAAAGGGGTTAAGGTGTTGCTGTCATAAATTTTGGTCGTTTCTAGTGATCGCAATGGTGCTTAACCATCATCAACGCATGTCGGCACAATGAGAAGACAAAGCAGGACCCTTTAAAGAACTATAAGTCCACAATAAACAGCCTTTGCTTGGATTTCTAGCATGCTGTCACCTTCAATTAATTTCGGGTGAGTGGTGATTGACGAGGAAATCTAACCCCAAGACGAGAGACATGGGCCATGATTATCCAATCCGACCTCCATCTGTGGACGCGCATCTGTTATACACAAACTGCTGAGAACAGATCTTGCTTTAAACCTAATCTTCTGAGAGCACATTATCTACAGGCAAGTTTAATTGTGAGTTGGGTTGAGCATGTGCTCTTATGATTTAGAATGAAAAATTAGAGACAAGCTTTTCTCCGAAGAAAAGATAAAGAAATAAGTTACCTGATAATTATGGCCAACGCATGCCATGTGCATAGAAGACATGATGGTCGGTTTTGTTCTAGCTTTTCTTGTTCTCTCACATGTAATGTAACGCCTACATGAATCAAAGAGTGTCTTGCCTTGTTTTGCAGGCTAAAAGCAAGTCTTTCGGTTAGACCCGAAACAAGTTTAGCGTAATGTGCTGAAATGCGCTTGTGACACAAATTCCTATGATGTCTGCAATTGTTTATTGCTCTCTGAAGAAACAAACCTTCCATAAATTAAGCCCCCTTTTGGCAGCTATTCTGCATTTGTCCGATATTCGTGAAACACACGTATTATAATAAAACAATTGATAAGAGAGTCGCGGACAATACTACATGACTTCCAGTTATTGTATCTGTACGCACGTTGAACATCTCTCCGACTCTCCCAGTCAGCAATTATTGAGCGAACGCATGTACGTGTGCACTCGCACATTTTTTACTTTGTTGAAAAAGAATGTTTCTGTACCGAAAAGATTCAGTGGTTTTTAATAGCAATTCATAATTCAGCACAGCACCGGTAAATACAGCTCCCTAGGTTGTGAAGACTTTCAAGCCGGTAGAGATAACAGTTAGTGAAAGAGTCATCCCTTGAACTATTGGATTCTGCCTCAATAAACCTGATGATAATGCAAAGCAAAACGATAAGAGCGACAAGAGAAGTTGAATGTGATATTAATTAAATTTGTTCCAAAAAGAAGAGACATTAATGTTACTATAAATAATTAAGTTCTATGAGAACCTTGCTATCATAATGAACAACAAAATGGGTTACTACAGTTAGGACTTTGGTAGCAACCCATGTCATAATTATTTAAAATTGCTATCTATATACAACAAAAAATGAGTAGGAAAGGATGATTCAAAAGGTAGGGAAAAAAGAATGAGAGAAGGTATTCCCTGAGGTGACAGAACTGTAACACTCTTCTTGCACAAATCTTCCTTCCCTGCAAAGAATTTTAGAAGGGAAGGAAAAAGAATGATATTTTTCCTGATCAAAATTTTAACTTGCATCGGTGTCCTTGCCACCAGCAACAACTTTGCGGTGGCGCCTAGAACCAGACCTCCTCCCACGCCTGGCTGGGCCTCTCCTAACAGGAGCACCTATCACCTTTTCAGTTGAAGTTTCAGGTGTTGTTTGAATTGGAGGTTCATTAACCAAAACAGGCGGCCGTAGCGGTAGTAGCAGCGGTGGGGGCGGAGGATAAACAGGAGGAGGATGAGCCATCTGTTCTAAAACATCTCTATGGTATTTCTGCAGATAGCAACAAACAATCAAGGGTTAAAAAGAAATGCACAAGAAAAGAACAACATAAGTGTTGAACAGATGTACCATCAAGAAAAGTACCATTAGATAAATATTGGTCAAATTTCTTCAGGTGCCTGTTTAACCATTTCCATCAAATTCAAACAAAGTTCATTTGAGCACAGAAGTTTGATGCACTTGAGCGCAAAGAAAAATTATAGCAAAATACATTTAAAGCACTAAAAACGCCCATGAGAAAGCATAACAACAAAATAAAATTGTTATTGGTAAAGCTCAAGATAGATTTCATACAGAAATTTAATAAAGTCTGCCTTGCAGGTTTCATATACATCTCCTTTATGTAGTTCACTAATTTTATGAAGGCTTCCCCACTCAAGAACCAAAATCCTGGTTAAATGCATCCTCTGGTAAAAATTAAATATGAAAGAACTCTGAACTGTGCTGAGTTTCTAAAAAGACATTTGAGGTAATTTTCATAAAAAAGGGTGGGTTTGGTATTTGGATATTATTTGTATCAATGAGCTGGCCAATCATGAATAATTGGTTAAGAATCAGAAGAAAGATTCACAGTATGGGATAAATTTCAACATATCGTCAATTACAGAAGTTGCGATATGAAGCCGCCTACAATAAGCCACCACCATGAAATATGGCATTCTTTATCACAATTGTACCTAATACAGTGCAATTAGACCAAAATGGTAACTTCCATGAGGCTTGCTGATGGACTCCGATAAACCTAAGCAGTCACGGAAATAAAACGGTCTGCAACCTAAAACTTACATTAAATTATGTCAAAACAATTTTCTATAAAGGAGTTCAATTTGTTATAATCTTGTTTTCCAAGAAACTACTATGTTCACAAGATATTTTGATACAAACAGAACCAACAATACATAAAATGATTACCTGAACAACAAAGTTGCGCCTTTCACAGTCCAAGAACATGTTGAGAGTCCAATTTGTTTTCTCATGAATCTTATCCCTGACAGTGGAAAAGCTGATTTGGTCCCTGGAAGTAAAGCGATCAACTTCATTGAACCAAAGACACGTAAAGAGGTTGCTGATAGGAACATGCTCCCTTATTACGACACATCCTTCAGGAACATCTGCAGAGCCATAAGTGAAGAGAAACTATATCAAAGACAAAAGAATTGCAATGAAACACCAAAAGAAAACAAGGAGCTTGAACTTACCACTTGTGATAGGAAGCTTGGCCTCAGAATATGGAGTCAAACCCTCCTTTTTATAAAATTCAACCTGAAAGTCAATGGAGGCATTTTCATATTTGCCAGCAGCTTTATTTGCGTCGGCTTCGATAAACACATCAAAGCGTCTGTAATGTCTAGAAATTGCAAAGGTAGCATTTTTCCTCCATAAGTGCCTGAAGAGTAGCTCAAGAAATAAGTGTGGTGTCCAAAGTTACTAATAATAATATCATCTAAATTGATCAAAGCATGGGAGCATGCCAGTGACCCCAGAAGCAAATATTTTAGCTCATCGTAAGCTTGCTAAATAATCCACCCATTAACTTCTCTTGCTATCCAAGCTAAGCACATCAAATGTCCATGATCAAGCTACGAAGGAAACTCTTCACCCCAAGCAAGCAGAATAATGAGAGAAAATTATCACATTTGGTTTCAGACGTACGCCCCATTTGTTTCTCTCAGAAACAGTGTTTTATTCAAATCATTTTACAATATGATTTGGTCCACCAAGATATGCCCACACCCCACCCCACACCCACACCATCACCATTCCAATTAAGAAAAGGCTTAGTGGCAAAGGCAGTTGAAGGACATGGAAGAAAAGGATCTATTCAACTAACCTAAAACCTCAAATCTCAAACAAGCTGAGATCAGCTACATAGATCAATTTCATCCATTTCGTTGGAAGAAAAGGATATATTTCATGAAAATACTAGGACCAAGAAAATCGACCAGAACTGGTTGGAGCTATATGCATGCAAGCAGCGATACCACATCTCAATGATCTCCTAATCAAACAATTATTCGATGATATATTTCATAGTAAATTGGGGGCATGAGAAAATTGGTTAACGGTTTTGATAGCTGAGTGCCTTTGAATGACAACTTCTGAGTTCAGGATTCTAATTTTGTCAATATGAAGAAAGAACGAGTGACCATTGTGATGACATATAAGGACTAGGGATCCAAATTAAAAATGGAGTGGAAAAATAATGAAAAGTTGACTCAAGATAAAATAAGAAATTGTGAAATGGAAATAGTTTAAGCAGGCAATTAAACAAGGAGATTCAAGTTACAATAAACGCATATGTTGGATAACATATGATATCTAATTCCAGAAAATCGAGTAATCAGATTGTTCTTGCTTGCTAGATAATCAAGTCTTATCACTAACAACATGTCAAGCTCCAGAAAATAATAGGACCAAGGGTAATTTGATTGATTTAATAAGAAACAACAATCACAGAGTGCTTTAATGGCTTATATCCAGATACTAGTGAACTTCATCTCACTTCTATGCATAAATGGCATTGCTAGATCAAGTAATAAAAACAGATACAATAGACACACACAGAACAGAAATCAGAGTTACCTTTCTAGAATTTGATATGGATCGACAACAAGTTCAAGTTTTCCATCAATCCACAAAGAAAAACGAGCATTTGGAAACATTCTGTGCGACAGAAGCTTTGGAACCTGTCATGGGCAAAACCTGGGTTACCAAGTAGGCTAAAGTACAATCTTGTGTAACCTAGCCATTAGCGACCCATGAGTCTGCAGCTGACTTTGGAAAATAAAAAATAATTCTAGTTCTCAAGATAAAATTTCTGTCAATTTGCAAAAGAAAGATCAAAGCTATTTTCTTTCAAACATCATCTCAATGCTCCCCCAGATAATATACCATACAAAAAATAAGCTGGTTCACTTTTTATCTTTTGGTGGTGGTGGGGAAGTGAGTGTAGGGTTTAGAAGGTTTAATCAATAATTTTCAAACACGACTCCTTGGTTCTGGATGTGATGGAAAAAATCAAGTTTATTCAACCATATGCATCTTCGTTCCATTCATGTTATGGATCATAAAGAAGCCAAAGGTAGTCAAATAATTAAAGCTACAGTGTTATCGATAATCAAATATACAACCAATAAGCCAAATTTGCACCCAGAAGTCCAAAACAAAAAGCGCTCGTTGAAGTTTACAACAAGTACCTTCCCGTTGCGCCTTCCATCTGTGTAAGGAAGATTATGGGCAACAACAATTCTCCACAAACCGATTTTCCTGCTGTCATCAAGACCACTGTTATTCTTTAAATATGCTTCTGTTTCTTCATCAACGAACATGAAGAAGCAGACAGTGTTCTTGGAGTATTCACTAACATTATGTGGCTGTTGTATTTCATCAAAAGCTCCTAAGAGGAAGAAAAAAGATCATGTAATTAACAAATCATGAACTCAGATGAGGAAAGGATAAGTTGGGATCCCATTACACAGAGCAATACCAAATATTGCTGAGGCAACAACAACACCATGGCACTGCTCCATCGCATCCAGGTCAATTTCGTCCATGTCAAATCCTGTATTCTGGCCAGGTCTTTTCCCTCGGGCAAATCTGATCAGTGCACATGTGCATCGATAAATATGCAGGGTTGGCAACAGGTAGAGAAATCGATACAATAATTAGTTACTAGAATGATTAGTATAAAAATATATAGTCGGCTAAAATTCCAAAGGAACAACCTTCAATATTTATAAATACATAAAAGATCATTGGAGAGAGAGCATACCCACAATGCACACTCATTGACTCTCTTATGTCATAATAGTCACTTCTCTGCTTTAAAGTAGGATATCCACCAAAATCAGAGCCTCCAAAATCTCTTTCTCCACTTAGAGGATCCTCAGAGATGTAAGTCAAATTCTTAATTACTGGAGAAAACGAGGGGACCTTCGGCATTAAGGCAATGGCTTCTTCCACGGGAAGATAACATACAGGACATGCTGAAACATAAATGACCAAGAAATCACAGGAACATCAGTGAAATCTCGTTAATTACATATTATATGTCTTAGCAACTCAACATCCCTGTCACCTTAGAATGTTTACAAATTATAGCATGTGAGTGGTTTATAACCAATGACTGTTTAACACAAAAGGAAGAAAAAAAAACCTATTAGACAAAACATTTGTGGGGAGGGAAGGCACTTACGCCGTGGTCCAGTTCTTTTTTTATCTGCCGGTGGAGGAGGTAACGTGAAACTATTACATGGATGCCCTGGAGGAAGGGTGTATCCCAAAAAAAATGCAGGAGGAGGAGGAGGCAAACTGATATGTGAAATCATTCCTTGAAACAAAGAAGTCTTGTTCTCAATGCGGCTTAAGGACACTGTGGCATTGACATTAATATTCGGGGGACGGTCACCTTCCCGTGCATCTTCACCTGCAAACAAGGCAAAATGAAGATATTATTTCCACAGTTGCAATCGAACTCCAAAAGGACCACAACATTGACAGCTCTAGCAAAGGTGGAATGCGGTAAAGAGATATCCAAGAAGGCTCAAGAAGGGAATAAAAATGGATATTTTCAAAATTTCGTAAACAAACATCACTCAGTGAGGCCAATTAACCATTAGTATATCATCAGTGAGATGTGGGCATTGATCTCCCAGCTCATGTAATAAGAGCAAAGCACAAACGAACTTAAACTCGCATTCTCCAATTCAAACAACCAAATGAAAGAAGTGCAAGAACTTCATAACAGCCCATTCGCAACAATTCAATACAACACAGGTAATAAATTTGAGCATTCTTCCACACTAAGAAACAAACTTAATCACCACTATAATCTCATATCCTATGATTGAACAAATCAATATCTAAGCAATAACAGCATATAGATTTAGAGAAAAAAAATCATACCTTTTCCTACATACAAAACCCAGACAAAAACCGCGGCAGAGATGACACAAAGGAACAGCATTCCAACCTTTTTTCTACCAGCAAACTTGACGATCCAATGGAAGAGACTCTCTTTCTCCTTAAACATCTTTGCAGGCTTAGGACGGCTAGTTGTTTGCATAGGTAAGAAGGCACCTGTAAGACCACCATTACCATTCTGTGGATGTAGTTGTAGTTGCTTGTCCAATGAACCATAACTACCGGAACGGATCCCCAATGACCCTCCAGTCATTGTCTCTCCTTAAACCTCACACAAAACAACACCCCTCTCATCTCATCTCAAAAGCCTCACTTGTTTTTGCTAACGTGAGAATCAAATACTATCAAGAATTCATCAACAAATAAGGTTAATGTGGAAAACAATCAAGACCTACTTCACCAAATTGGCCAAAGATAAGTTTTTTTTTTTTTTCCAACACACTATCAAAATATCCTCTAAATTCAATAAACAAAGCAAAATAGTTAAGACCCACTTCACCAAATTGTCCCCAAACTCTTGGGGGGCACCTTCAAAATTTTCACTCTCTGTAACCAAATTATACTTACAAATCCCAAAAAATGGACAATTAAGAAGAAATCAGATCCAAAACAATTACATAGATGCAGATAGTTTAAATCTTTTTTGCATGTGTGAACTAACAGATCAAAGTAACTGAAAAAGGAAAATTGAAATTTTGAAGTAAAAAGAATAAGAAAAGGAAGGGATTTTTATTGGATTTTGAAGAGAATAAATCTAGGTTTTGTGATTGGATGAGAAGGGTTTTTGAGCAAAAATCTAAGTTTGTTGAAACCGAGGTTCGTTTCCTTTTATTTATTTCAAATCAAATCTGGGATTTGTGTTTTACGAGTGTGTGTATATGTTTTTGGCTTCCTTTTTCGCTAAATTTGAGGTTATTACAGAAACTGAGAAATTCAGTATTTATATTTATATTAGTTGTACATATTGGCAAAAATATAATTTAATGTTACAATTATCATACGAAAACAACGATATATTTTGATAAGATAATATATAGCCATCGGCCATGTGCGTGATGTTATTAAAAAAGGTTGACGGTGGCGTCTAAAATATTGAGGAAAGACATTTGTCAAAGATCAAATAAAGTCATTACTGGCCTAATTGTACTTGTTAATGTTATTAATTATTAATCCATAACTAAACAAGCAGCAGCAGCCGTTTGTTGAAATTAAAAGTATAAGCAAAACATCAGGAAGACGAGTTCTATTGAAAATCTTGAATGTATAAATTAAAAATAAAAATAAAAATAGGAAAATCTTTGCGCAAAACAGAAAATACAATAGCTAATAGATATCGTATAGAAAACTGAATTTAAAAAAAAAAAAAAAAAACTAAACTTTAGGTTATTATTTAACCAACAGTCCTAAACATTTGGGTTGGGTTTTGATTTTTTTTTTCCAAATATTTGGGATTTTATGGGAAAACTAGTTCCATGATTTGGATTAATGGATATTTATTTTTAAAAGTTTTCTAAAGCATTTAAGATTGTAGGAATTGGTGAACGTGTTGATGCAGCACCATCTGTTATGTTCTGTTAGCGTTAATGATGGTTATTGCAAGTGAATTTCATCTAAATAGAACGCATTGGAATTTTAAAAGTTAAATTAAGGTAATAAATAAGTTTATCGGTTGAATTTCAGAACTAATATAGGTCATTAGTCATAGATCTACAAATAGATAAATTGCTAGGAAAAGAACTTTAGGTTAAATATAAAAAATTATTCGAAAATACCTATAATATGAAAAATACATTTGGAAGTATTCAATAATTGTTGATTTATCGCACATATATAATTCTACTTGATTTAGATTACAAGGCCAATTAGTGTTAAGATAGCTATTGGTGGTAATTATGCGACTACCAACAGCATTTTATTTCAATCATCTTTTCTTGTATAGACTGAAAAGGAATTCTCAACCACAAGAGACACCATTTTTTCTCCATTGATTTGCAGGTCTATTCTGAGAGTCTACATCACCCCCAAAACACACAAGTTTTGATTTCTATAGAAACTCGGTTTTGTGGCAAATTATATTGATTTGAGGATAATTTATCGTGTAATGAGACTCTACAACAATTAATTGAACCTGTTGTTTTTATTCTCCAAACTTAATTAGTATGTCATTAATTTCTCAACTACAATTTTTTTTATCCAATATATTTTTAAAAAAGAATGTTGGAGATTTAAGATTAATCTTATTCAGAAAAAAAAAAAATTTAACTCCTCGCAATAATTATGATTTTAGAATTCGAACATTAAACATTGATAAAAAATTCGTTTGAATACCAATTCATTTACTACTAGATTAATTAATTCTTTTTTTTTTTCAACAATAAAAGTTTTTTGGTGTTAGTTTTTGTGCATTTTAAGACTAATCTCTCACTACGCGTAATAAGAGTATCCTCAAGCCATGTGCATAAAAATTAAATTCTAAATCTGATCTATAAATCAATACTCACTTAACAATTATCCAATCCTAAATCTTACTAACAGGTTACTGCCTTTGTTGTTGTTCTAACAACTTCTTAGTTCAACTATTATTTATGATCTCTCATGTTTGAGACTACAATCTTACCAAAAAGTGTCGAGATGTGATTGAAGGCAGAGTCTAGGTGTTAGCTATGTGCAATGGATACAATAAATTTGGGTAGCCTTATCGACAAGGAGGGGGAAAACATGCATATCAGATACAGAAGATGAATTCGACTTAATTAGAATAAGAACATTTACTCTTAATGGCTATTGAAATAAAACTTTAAAACATGCAGAAAATTCTCTCCCCATTGGCTGTTTCTATAATATTCCTCGCAATAAAATAATGTGTTTCCTATGGATCAACAGCGGGAGTAGGCTGCTTTCTTTGAATATTCTCCCCACTACTATTCAACCAATCCACTGAGGTGTAAATATATACATGTATATCTTTAGGATACGACGACTCAAAAGCTTCTTATTCGGAACTATTTTTTATAGATTTCTTCTTCTTCTTCTCTGTTGAGATTCGAAAGAAAAGGAAAATAACATAGTCCATGACGATGGTCTCCAATTTCTAAGACAGTAGGAAATTGTTGAGTATATATTTAAAGTACGGTGATCTTAACATAACTATTAAGAAAAAGATTAATTAGGAAAATGGTCGAAATTAAATAAAAAAACTTATTGTGATACTAAAAAAAAAATCTTTTCTTTTTGTTTTTTTCTATTTACCAGACACATGCATATATCCCTGGATGCATGTGTGTGTTAAAAAAGAACAATGGAAGATAAAGAAAATAAAAAAGAGTTTTTTTTTTTATTATTGACGAAATCTATATGAAAAAAGTAAGAATTTTTTAATGCATATGTGTGTGTGTGTTAAAAGAGAGCAATTGAAGATAAAAGAAAAGAAAAAAGAGTGTTTTTTTGTATTGAAGAAATCTATACGAAAAAAGTAAGAATTTTTTAATGCATAAATATTGAAATTTTTTCTAATTTGATTTTTAAATACTACCATCAATGTTCACGAAATCTTCGAAGCGTGATTAAATTTCCAATCTAAATTGAAAAAAAAAAAAAAAAAGATTGCACGCAAAAAAAGGGGATAAATTTATTAACCAATTAATCTAGAAGAAGAAAGGAAATTGCCTCTAAAATGCTTTCCGAAACTGTTGGCGTGTCTATCAAAATAAACAGCCATTTTGGAGACATCAATAGAATTTTGAAAAGTAGTGATGGATTTGGTAGAACCAGAATTTCCAACTCTCGGATGGTTGGGAAGCCATGGCATGCTTCCAGTCACATCAGACGTGCCATGTCTACTGGTTTCATTAATGCGAATATACGTCATTCATTTAAATCCTGGTTACATAACATGATCAACAGAAAATCATATTTCTTTATAAGTTCATATACTAATTAAGATTAAATTTTATCTTTGAATGATCTGAAAAAATATCAAATTAAGAAGAAAAAAACAAACTTTAATTTCCCACTCAAGATCAATCCTAAAGTTTACAAGATGTTATTGAATGACTATTAATGTGATGCAGACAGGACCACATAACCCTCACATGGCATCTTATGGGTAAATGAGGGAATTTGATCTTCTCCATTCATGAGCAATTAAATATGACTAGCTATAAAAGAAGAGTATCGCATTCATTGAGACAAAAAGGAAGGAAAAAAAAAAAAAAAAAGACTTGCTAGCTAAGTACCCCACCATTAGTAAATTTAGATTATAACTTGTTAGATGGCTCTTGTACTGTTATGAGTCTACTAAAAGAATTATTTGATTTTTTTAAAATAAAATCATGTTATAATTTAAAACTTTTTCTTGACTCATAGTATATTTTGTTAAAATTTATTTATTTGATATATTTTTTACTCTAAAATCAGTAATTTTTAAATAATTTTTAATCTTAATAATTTTTATTTGAATTATAATTAATATAAAATCTCATGTGTGTCTTTAAATTTTAATTTTTTATGTAATAGTCAGACAATTAAATTGTTGTGTAATAGGTTGAACGTAAAAATAATAATAATAAAAAAATACAACAATATACACCAAAAATTAACATGTGTATTTTATAATATTATACAAATTTTCTTACATAACCAAATCTGATCTTTCAGCTTTTAGTTCCTCTCATAAAAAATAATACATTGAATTGAATTAAACATAGTTTCTTCATGGAGTAATATCCTTACGTGGATAACAAAATACTCTAATTTTATTTTAAAAATGTATGGTAATCATATTTTAAAACATATTATTTTAAACATTTAAGAGAAATTAAATTTAGGATCTCAAAAAAGAAAAAAATTATGAAAAAAAAATAAAAAACAAAATTGGCATGGGATAGGAAGCTACACCCATGCACGCTTGGGCTTAGTCAAGGCACGCCTAGGCTCTCTCTCTATCTCTCCTCAGTTTTTTCTTCTCTTTGCTACTAGATGTTAAAACACAAACAAAATGATATATTATGGTTTACGCATAAATGCTATGAAAAGTGGTACCGAAATTGAAAAACAAATTTTAGCAAAAAATAAAAACTCCATAAACCAATTCAAAACTTAAAAATAAATAGCAACAAATCAAAACCTCGAAAATTTCAAAAATACCATTAAAGAAATAATCTACTTTTTAAATTGTGTTTTAAAGTTTTTTTCTAGGGTTTTAAGTGTTTTCATAGATGTTCTAACATACATGGAGGTTTGAGAGGGATATGTAGGAGAACAATAAAACAATAATATGAAAAGAAGTCAGCTGTTCATTAGTTGCCTGGCAGTAAATGACGAAAATAAAACGATAATAGGTTATGATGCTTATATATTGATCAAGGTGTGATCTGTTGGTTTATTTTTTTTGGTTGATTTCAAAATTTGGTTTTATCATATTCGAGTAAATTATAAATTAGTCTTTTATTTTTTAAGAAACGAATTAATTATTATTTTTCCTTTCAAAAACTAATCATTAGAGGGACTAATGTATAATTTACCCTCAGATTCTGAACACTGATGTTTATTTCTTGGTTTTCGTCGTTAATTGCTTGGAAAGTTGGTTAATTGGTTATGTTTACATAAATGAAAAAGGTTGCTGAGATGCTTTCAATCAATTCCATATCTTCGTTTGCTTTCATTCCGTCCTTTTACTCTGGTTTTTATTGCAAATCAAGGCCAATTTATATGCGGGGAAGTCATTGGCATTACTAAATTTGTAGAAAAAGGATTTAATTAGATTGGCATATTCAATTAATCGATCATTATCTCCATAAATGGAATAATCTTTCATTTATTATCTAAAAAATGCAAATTGCCTATTTGACATGATTACGCAACCAAGAAGAAATTGGGTATGGTGGCATATTTCAATTGATCGATCATTATCTCCATGGATGGAATAATTTTTCATTTCTTATCTAAAAAATGCAAAATTGCCTATTTGACATGATTACACACACCCAATAAGAAATTGGGTATAGTGGCATATTTCAATTAATCGATCATTATCTCCATGGATGGAATAATCTTTCATTCATTTATCTAAAAATGCAGAATTGCCTATTTGGCATGAATGATTACATAACCAAGAAGAAAATGGGTATAGAGGACAAAAGAGCTGATGACCTTTTAATGGGGATAACTTAAATTGTCGTGAATCTCTTTCAATATCATTAGGGTGTGAAACTCTTTCAACAGCGATTTTGGGTGGTAAGTTGTTTTCCCCTGACACCTTACTCTTGATTTCCATTTTAACCTTATAAATTCCAATTACGAGTGATGAGTCCTTGGTACAACTCAGTTCCTGAAAACGATGAAAAATGGATTTGAGGCTGGACAAGCAACAATTTTGGTGGCATTTGATTAACATTGCTTTCTGTCTTAAAATTATGTTTTCGGAATTCTAATAGTCATGTTTTTTTTTAAAAAAATTATTAATTGTTAGGCTATATCTATTTGTTATAAAATAATTTAAATTTCAAATTCTAAACCATCAAAATCTCTACTTTCTCTCGTCCCAAAAAAATATATATATCTTTTTTTAATTTATATATGTCCCAAAATACTTATTTGATCAAAGTTTCTAATATTATATATTTTTAAAATACCTCTATTTTGTAATGTAAAATTAATTTGGATGAATTTTTCTTAGAGAGAGTTGTCTCGCACCCCTAGGTATTCTCTATCTACCCACTCGTGTCGGTTTCGGTACAAGTACTCTTTTGTTGAAGGTCAAGCAATTCGTGGAGTAACTCCCGATATAGCGATAAAAGCAAGACGTGTAGGCGGATCGACTCATAAAGTTCCCATTGAAATAGGATTAGCTGGTTGTGACCAAGAAACCACGAGGTTTCACTTGGTGGGCCGGGAATGCCCGACTTATCAATTTATCCGATAAACTACTAGGAGCTCATGTAGCCCATGCCGGATTAATCGTATTCCGGGTCGGAGCAATGAACCTATTTGAAATGGCTCATTTCGTACCGGAGAAGCCAATGTATGAACAAGGATTAATTTTACTTCCCCACGAGCCTCTTATCCATTCTCATTCGATCACGGCGGGGGGAGCAAGTCAAAATAGAAAAACTCACATTGGGTTTAGAGATAATCGAGGCTCGAACCGATGACTTCCACCACGTCAAAGTGACACTTTATCGCTGAATTATATCCCTTCCCCATTTATTTTGGGAACATTCGGTGCCAAAGTCACCGAATGGGTAAGTCGCCAATCCCTAAAATGGACTATGTACTCGTACTTTATCTGTTGGATTACGGGCGGGCATTTTCCGGAGGTTTCTATTGTATCAATCTACCCTTGTGTAATTCATGTTGAAGACATATACTTGGGGGTGGTTCTAAGGCGGACGATTTCTAAATTGGAGTGGTGCGATTATGTCACTATTCACAGATTTAGCTGTGATACAATGTATCCATAGCTTTTTTTCTATTCTAATAGAATCAAATTCGACTAGATACTAAGACTAAGCATAAGATAACTAAGCGGAAAAGGTTAAATGAGGGGAACAAAAGATTATAGGAAATATTCTTCTATTTGTCTTTTTAGTCTTTGACATAAGAAAGGGGTGTGGAAAGTTCCTTTTTCTTTTGTTGATTTCTAATCTAATCTTTACAATTGATTTGATTGGACTGCTATAAAACAAGAAAGTTTGACAATTTAAGAGCAAACTTATCATTATTCATTTTAATATAATAAACAAATGTTCAATTTTATAACTATAATTACTATATTAGTATACTCTATATTAGAGTATAAATCATTATAATGTTAACCTTCTAATTTAATTTTAGAATTTATTAAAATTGATTTACTTCACGAAGCGAGGTCTCCGGTTCAAGTCTAGGATGGTCCGGATGCGCCAAAGAAAAGAAAAGAAGAAGCATCTAACTCCTTCATACATTAAAAATACTAATATGATATTTTAATTAATAAATTAGGTAAATTACAAAAAAAAAAAAAACATCTTATAGTTAGATGACGGAAATAATCTGCACCTTTATTTTTTAAAATTTACACTTTACACCCTTAATATTTTACAATAAAATTTCGGACAAATAAAGCATAAAATAATGACGAGTGCCCTCATATATAAAATAAGACATAAATTATGAAAAAAATAACTTATAATTAGATGGCGGGAACACTCGCATTCCCATTTTTTTTTCAAAAATTACACTTTAGATTCTGAATTTTTTAAAATAAAATAAAATTTCAAGCAAGTGAAGTATAAAATGATATTAACACATTTATATATATAACAAGACTTCTCACGCCGACTAAGTAGGGGTGATCATTCGGTTAAACGGTTCGATTTTATACGATTCGGTTCGATTTTTAGTTAACCGAAATAAATTCGATAAATTCGATTTGTAACCAAATCATTTCGGTTTGGTTTCGAAATATTTCAGTTTTAATCAAAATATTTTGCTGTAAAAACAAATCATTACATAGAGATGTTTTGTAGTAGCACTTAGTCCACTAGTTAATGAAGTAACATCTTGTTATCAATTAATCCTTTTTATAGACAATCACAAAGCCCTTGAAGATTTTAACTAGGCTTTAATGAAAACCAGTCCAAGTGTAATTGATTTTGTCATTCAAACACATTGTATCCCAATTAATTATATTTTGTCACTTTCTTTTCTAACCCTAACTCGTCCTCAAAATTTATTTCCCATCTTTTGCTTTACAACCCATTTAGGCATTTAGTACCACAAAAATTAAACGAGCACTAAATTCACCAACATCTCTCGCCTCCTCCATCTCGCCGTCTAGTAGAAAGTGCGATAATGACAATATTGTCCGACATCCTCTCCGATCTTGCCACATCATATTGCCTTCCCATTTTATTTGCTTTTCGCTAACATGGCAAGATCGAAGCATTTGTTACACCTCGAGAATAAAATACACATAAATAAAAAAGAGTCACCGTAACGAATATCGACAAAAACTATTTTATATTAATTACTCCGATAACCAGACCAAGTAACATTTTCTCCATTTTTTTTTATGGTTCAAAATACTAACTATGAATTTTTATGGTAACAAAAGACATCGTACTCTCATTAGAATCACCTAAAACGACAACTGTCTTCATTTTTAGTCTTTGAATTCTTGCGTGACTAATTTTCATCATGAGAAGGAGAAGGTGAGGAATAAAATAATGCGAGGAGACGCACACGGTGTCCGGAACGGCGTCGTTACACCATCAACCTCAACATCAACAACCACATCATTAGCAATAGCTACCTTTTCAAAACAAACATCACTATTGCTCATTTTTCTCTTCTTACTTTTAGCAAGCTTGTTCTCTATAGACGATAAGTCGTTCTCGGTTACCTCTAGCTCCTCCCCATCCTCTTCCTTAATAGCAAACAAAACTCTCGATGGTCCCTACATCCCTTGCAACTTTAACATCTCCTCCACCAACGCATCCGTGCCATCCGCGAAGTCGGCGAAGTCACCGTGGATGTCGTTAGGTTTGTTGTCGAGTCGGGTTCGACTCGAGTCATTTGGTTTTGCAGCAGAAGAGGTAGAGAAGTTCCTTAAACGACATCAAGCGGATCGAATCAAAACTACTACTGAATTTTCCGTCAATAGAAGAGATTGGAGGGAATGAGGGACATAAGAACCGAAGGAGAATTGGAGACCGGAGACTCGGAGAACAAAGGAATGAAGTTGAAGGAGGTTAGGGAAAAGTGGAAGAAAGAAGGAGAAGCTGGAGAGTCATGATTACGTGTTTCAATTTCAGCAAGAATGAAGATTGAAAAGTTAGGGATTTAGAAATTAGGAAATTTTTTACTATTTATTTTGGTTTTCGATTGAAACCAAAATTTTTTTTTCTAAAAACCGAACCGAACCAAAAAAATTTCGGTTTTTCGATTCGGTTTTATATTGTATAATTTTACATTTAAAATCGAACCAAATTTCATAATTCGGTTCGATTTTATTCGATTTTCGATTAATCGAACCGTTTGCTTACCCCTACGACTAAGCATTATCAATCCTATTTCTCTCTCTCTCTCTCTCTCTTCGAATAGAGAGAAACCCAAAAAAACTCAAAAATTTAACAAGTTAATCACTTGAAAATAAACAAATTTCTTATGTGTTCTTGTTAATTAAAAATTTATGTGGCTATTTTAGGATCGAATTGAAGAAGAATCAAGGACAATTCAAAGTTGAAACGAGGTATGTTATGGTGTGATCTTAATTTTTAATTTTTGAAGCATGAACCATAAAATGTTGGGATTAATATTATATTCATCTTCCCGAGCAAAATCCATGAAGATTTTGGGTGTTTTGAAAGTTTTGTTAACTGTGTTTGAAAATCTAAAAAAAAAAAAACTAATTTTTTCAATGTTTATTTAGTGGTTCGAAAATGTTTGTTCATCTTTTAGTTGATTGTTTTGAGCAAAACCAAGTAAAAATCAGGGCTTCCAAAGTTGTTAATTTGGAACTTCTAAAAAAATCCTAATTTTTTAATGTTGATTTTTTTGTTTTTTGTTTTTTGTTTTTTTTTGAATTCTTAAGTGCCTCAAGAGCCTATTATGTTAGTTTATTACCAAACCTATTGAACCATAAATGGAAGGCAGGGAACTTTAAAAGTTTCTCCTATCTTCTTATTTGAAGTGCAAACCAACAAATATAGAGTGCTTTAATATTTCCGGTAGCTCTATTTTATATTCTCTTGTTTAGCTGTTAAGTTCTATAAACTCTTTTTACTTATCTTGATAAAGCTAATATTTGTTTATTATCATGTAATATCACAGCTGAAGATGAAATTGAAATACAAAGTGTTTTTTGAAATGTTTTCAAAAAGCATTGTGGTCATTAAAAAATAACAATGGCAGACCTTTTTTTACCTGAACTTTTGACATTATAAAAAAAATCATAATACATGATTTTTTCGAAATAAATATTAAAATTATAAAATGCAAAGTATACTTTTTAAAAAAATAGAAGTAGAGTGTTTCTCATTTAACTACAAAATGTTTTTCGTAATTTATCTTAATAAGTTTTACCCAGCGTGTGAAAAGTTAGAAAAGACTAGGGAAAGAGCCGGGGTTTCTCCATACAAAGGAGGTCTCAGGATAAGACGCTTGACATTTGTCGACTTTTAAGAGGCCAATCCCATCTGGTCATCCTTCCCCACACAACCATAAAATTGGCCCCGTTCGAAATGCGATCGACTTTTAGGTTGAAAAATAGAACTGGCCCATTAAGTGCTCCAATCGTATACTTATGTGCTCACTTCTCTTTTTACTAGGCTAGGCCCACAACTTTTTCAAAGTTTTCTTCTATTAACAAAACCAGCGGCAAGTTGCTCATTGCCTCCTATCAATTAGACAATTACAATGTACTGCCAATTTTCTTCTCTACCGACAAAGGACCAGTCATTAATTGATACCCGTAATTGGAGGCAGTTATCCTCTCTGCTTTTCCATTTGGGATTTGAATTTAAAAGGAGAAAAAATTATATTTTTTTCTTTTTTTAATCACACATGCATCATTTTTTATGAGAATAATATATTTAAAATCCAACCTAACTTCAGTTTAATGCATAAAAAATAACTCGGAGATATTATGTATGTTGAGAAATTAAAGATTTGAAATTCAATAAACAATCACCGTCAACTCAATTCAAGATGAATAAGCAGTATATACAAAAAATTTAATAGGTGATTCGATAAAAAATCCTATCTACTTCGAAAAATAAAATAATTATTAAATTAATACAAGAATATGATTATAGTTTTTATATCCAAAAATCAGATCCTAAAACTTCTCATATATCTATTTTTACATTCAAATAAAACCTTTCAACTTTTGTAATTTTCACATTCTAAATCTAATTGCGTGGTCAAAATACTTGATGAAAAGGGAAAACCAAACTTGGCGATCGACTTTATAAAAGCTCGGAGGTTATTTCATTCTTCCTTGACAGCTACTCCACTCTATTTAATAATATAAACCATAAGTTTAACCGTGTGCGAGCTCTTTGTTTGTATTTATTGCTTTTATACCTCCAGCTTTGGATTATATTTTTTTCCCAACCCTCTGTTTGAATACAAACAAAGATATTTTTTCTCGTCATGCTTACAACAGGGAAGAGTAGCAAAATTAGTCTAACCTGTATTAAACACCCCATTAAATAAAGAGAAAGGAACATGTCAAAGAAGTCACTCTCTTCAACATCTGGTTTTGCATGGAAGGAGAAAAAAGCGACCTAACTTTCTACATCGAACTAATTTATGATATCACGTACAAGTTGCATGTATCTTTGACTTTTTTTTTTTTTTTTTTACCTTAGGAAATTTATCATCCATTGCGTGATTACTTTGACTTTGTTGCTTTCGCTGATTATCCATTGAGAGCTCTGACATCGTTAAATTTAACCTTTAAAATATAAAACTTCATCCTAATGTTTCTATAATTCTACTGATATTGAAATGAATTTGATAGTAGTTGATACGTGTGCGATTTTGTAAATCCCATAACATCAAATTTTGCTCACATCTATTTTATCATCCCAAGAGAGAAATGGAAATGTTATTTAGAATTGTTGTTCTTAATTGGCAATGCATCTGAGTTATCGTCGTATAGAATTTTAAAGTTTGGAGGAATTTTAGATAACTAAGAATTGCCTAAGAAACTCTCTTCATCTCCTTAAAATATGCTGGGAAAAAAAATTAAAATAAGCAAGGTGTGAAAATTGAAACCCTTGGGCTTGAAAACAGACAAGGGGCAGCTGGACCTGGCTGCCTTTGACTTTCCAACTGTACGATTTTCTGCTCTTGTGAAAGATGTTACGCCATTCTATTTGGTGTTGATCTAAAACTTCCACAAGGGTAGAGTACGGAAAGTCATGTTAAAAAACTATTGATATTGACTTGTAAATTATTTATGGAAGAGTTTTCTCTTTACTTAGAGATATATCATGGCTGCCGCTAACAGTTGATGGAGATCATTCTATTTGAGATAATTTTTTAACCGGATGGTCTTTAAGTTGATCATAACCACTTGTGTTATGATTGCCTGGATGTATCATATCAATTAAGTGCAAATATGAATGATAATTATCTAAATAATTTGTACTCTGAATTTTTTTTATGATTTAGTTCATCCTATGATTATATCTATTTATTTTAAAAATTTTAAAATGTAAAAATTCGAGAAAAAATAAAATGACAAGAAATGATTTTAGTTTTCTTAAGGAGTTCTAAATAAATCTCAGTGATGATTTTTATCATAAAAGTTATTTATGTAATATTGATTTTTTTAGGTAAATGATAGAAAACTGAAAAATTGATTGAATTAAAAAAATAAAGTTCAAAGAATAAAAATTCAAAAATTGATTTTCAAATTTTTAAATAAAATAAATTTCTGGAAAATTGTGGGCCTTTTAACTTAATTATTATTTATGTCCAACAAGTTGTACTTCCGCATGGGCCATTTGCCGTTGTTTTCTGCGGCTACGAATACGGTTACTGTATTTTCGCTTTTGTTGTACCTTGGAATCATTTTCAGTGGAAAATGCTCTGTTTGAACACCGCCTGACCTTTTTTCCTCCCGTCATGCGTACGGCATGAAAGAGGTGAAAAATGTTTGACATGTCATGCAAGCCCATTAAATTCTGATGGAGAAAGAAAGATGAAGTATCCATTCATTTCAACATCCGACTTTGCACGGGAGGAGAAAACAAGAGTAAATTATAAGTTAGTCTTTCTAATTAAAATAATAATAATAATAATAATTTGTATCTTCTGTTTCAAAAATTAATTATTTAATTTTTATTCATTTTATTTTTTTTACTATTATCTATTTAGTGTTTTTCGAAGAACAAGTCTGCTCTGACATCACTAAATTTAATCTTTAAAATATAAAACTTCATCCGAATGTTTCTGTAATTCTATGGACATTGAAATGTTTTGGAGAGCAAGTTTGAAATTAAAGCTATTTGGTGTTGCCATTTGTAGCGATTTTGTAATTCTATGGAATTTTACTCACATCTATTTTATCTTCCTAAGAGAGAAATAGAAATGTTACTTAGAATTGTTGTTGTTAATTGGCAATGCATATGAATTATCATCTTATAGAATTTTAAAGTTTAGAGGGAAAAAAATAGATTTTAAAATAAGCAAAGTGTGAAAATTGAAACCCTCAGGCTTGAAGACAGGCAGGGGCAGCTGGACTTGGCTGCCTTGGACTTTCCAACTGTACGATTTTTCGCTTCCTTGAAAGATCTTGCTCCATTCTATTTGGCGTTGATTCAAAATTTCCACGAGGGTAGAGTACGGAAAGTCATGTTAAAAGACTATTGATATTGACTTGTAACTTATTCTGCTCTGAAATTTCTAGTGAATCATGTATGTATTTTAGAGTAAATTTAATGTTAGAAATATGTTTTTAAAGTTATTTAATGAAACGATTTAATTTCTATGATTGGAAAACATTTTTTATTATTAAATAAAAAATAATATAGTTTATTTATTGGATGCAGCTGAGAGTGTAGAATTGAAATTAGACATAAGCATGGATTGAAATGTTTTGAAATTTTTAAAACACAAGAAATGACAATTTATCCTTCTTTAGTCAACCATCTTTGGGCGAGCAAAATCGGGTCTTATCATGCACTAGAGTATTCACACGAGTGAAAGCAAAATCTCTTTGGTTAAAAAGAAGAAAAGAAAAATCACAAGATTTGAGTATGGTAGCTGCAAAACATTCAATAT